AAAGAAATATTTTACTGTTAGTCATTCAGTCGAGGGTTAAGCGAGTCTGCCTCGACGAGCGTTACTAGTTTGATTAGGACTTTTTAAACGTTTATGCATTTATTGAAAATTTTCACGTCCCAGGTCAACAAATCCGAAGCTGGATCCGATCGGATTCCTGGAAACGGAATTGCATTGGAATCCGACTAGAAAATTCCCGTCGGTTGTTGCAAATTTTATGAGCGATCTTTTAGCTATGTTCTATGATGACCCTTAGAAAATCCAAGAAATTCATATTTCGGATTCGACGAGATCCGACATCGGATCCGTCGAATTCCTGTAGGATCTGATAAAATCCTATATTGGATCCGAGTATGGGATTGTTCGACCTGGGTTCTCATGAGCAACATTGATTAAACGAGCAAATGGATCAGCAATTGTCAATTGTGTGACAAAAAGTAATTGTAATGGTTATTTTTTTCATATAATAAATCCGTCGATGTACAGAGCATTTTTCAATTATTATTATCTTGTTTATGAAAATATTTCGAGTTAAGATATGTGTGACAAAAATGAATGATTGTTTTCGAAATTATTCTAGTTTGCCTCGCAAATCAGTGCATTTGTGATTTGAAGCACACATTAGTATAGGATATAATTAGAATTTGTCATCGAATCAAATTTGTCTTAGATTCTCTCCTCTTGATCTGAATACAAAGCAATATTTTTTTCAATTTTATTACAATTATTTTCCTTCTTCATACAAATTATGTGATAAACATTACTAAGGACGAGAACAATGACGAATATTAAGTAGAACAAGTTTTAGTTCTGAGCGAAACGTTTTTGATACCGATATATTTGCATAGAAACCAATACCGTTGTCGACAAAATATAAAAGTACGTTAAAAGCAAGACACATTGTTCAATCAATCCTTGTTCTACACTTTTTACATTGTAACGAGTAATTTCTTGATAAATATAAAAAACTAGAACCGGAGTTTTACAAAGGATATAAGTGGTAATTTCCACAAGTAACATTCGAATCAGTTGTTGATCTTTTGATTGAAGTATTTGTGGTCTACCAACTGACACAACAGCTGACCTGCTCGCAACAGAAGATAGTGTAGCATGACCAATTGCACGAACATTTTTCACTGTCCAAAATCCAAATATAAGCATAAGAGTAGGTGGAAATACTCCATTGATTAAAACTGAATAGTATGTAACGAATGTTGTATACATACCTGATTCATAATAGCAAAGAAAATAATTCGGTCCAAATTGGCGAATGATCATATGAATCAATGCGTGAATGTGAACAATTGCCCAAAATAAGCATACGAAAACAATGCAGATAATAGATAATCGACGTGTGCCATGCTTTCGTGTTGCAGCATTTCGCGAGGTGATGAATGTTCGATCAATCGAAGCTAAGATAAGACAAGATGATTCCCAGCATGCTAAAACGAAACCAAAATAATAACGGAACCGACAGACAAATAAGTTGGTTTCAAATAGATTAATGTTATAGCCTGAATCTAATATTAGAAGTAAAAGACCCACATAAAGGGAAGCAAGATTAATACTGTTAACTGCGGTGAAGTATATTCCACATGGATTTTTTCGTAGCGTACTCTGTGTAAAAACCATCAAGTTCAATATACAACCTACAGTACCGACTACTACAATTATGGAACCACCATATTTAAATAAATTTTGTGTAAAAGAATAAAGGATAGCAGCTGCCGACATTAGTTCAATGAGAGAAGACTAAAATCAAAATGAAAACACGAGAAGCAGATGACTGTTCTACAGGGTGTCTCATAAGTCCGTATGGAAACAAAAGTTATATAACTCTTCAACAGTCCAAGTGATTCTCATGAGTTTTGTATCATTTTGAAGAATTTTGTCTCCAGTTTTATTTCACATATTTTCATACAGAACAATCCTTTAAAATAACCATCATAAAACAAAAACATGTAAATCTACCATTTCAAAACATGTATAAAATCAGTGCATCAACCGTCTAGTAAGCTGGTCTTGGTAACATCATCTAGTATTTACTTACACATCAACGATGTATTTTGGACTAAAACTAATATTAGAGTACCTAGATATAACTATGTAATAAACTAGTGATGTTACCAAGACCAGCTTACTAGACGGTTGATGCACTGATTTTATACATGTTTTGAAATGGTAGATTTACAT